AAAGATCAATAAATGCTTTTGTGCTAATACTGTAATGTTAGGGGTAATGCATTAGTACAATGTAATACACTAATCTACATATATTAAATGTTTATTTACATTATAAATACATGTATAACTATAATACCTAAAATACCATGAGGATGAATAGCATATGAAAACTCATGAGGAAATGAACAGAAGTTTTCAGCACAAGTTCGATTCATGTGAAGCAATACAACTCAGGGCCACTCCCTGTATGCATAGTATTGGGTAGCTTCCCTTTCAATGAGTACCCCCTAGTCTGTGCCCTAAGTACTGCTTCTCCCAGCCTGTTACAATGTTAATAATGTTCTCTTAGTTCTGCCCCCTGTGTACAGTTTCTAGGTTTTGAATAAGTGGCGTGCAGAGATGGCTGTTTCGGCATTGAGTAGCCTGTGGGTTAATCCCATGAACAAAGCTCTTAGCTCCCCCCTACAGACTTCTGCCACTTGTGCTGAGAGTAGCTGCTGGACCAAATGGAGGACTCATTGGAAAATTTGCTTTTTCAAGTTGGTAGGTGTACAGGAATAGCCTTTTTTATCTGCTAAGAAAGCCTTGTGAAGCCAGGAAGTGGAGAATATTTGCTGCAAAAGAAAGCTGAGGGAACGAGGTTCTGCCTCATGAATCCATCATGTTGATTACGATTTGAGGGGATAGCAGTGGATGTTGTCTCCCTGGACTTCAGCAAGGCTTTCAACACTGTCTCCTACAACATCTTCATAGGCAAACTCAGGAAGTGTGGTCTGGCTAAGTGAAGAGTGAGGTGGGTTGGAACTGTCTGAGTGGCAGATCTCAGAGTGTCGTGATCAGTGGCACAGGGTCTGGTTGGAGCCCTGTCACTGGTGGTGTCCCCCAGGGTTCAATACTGGGTCCAGTCTTGTTCACCTAATTCATCAATGACTTGGAGGAAGGGGCAGAGGCCTCCTCAGCAGGTTCCCTGCTGACTCAAAGCCAGGAGCAGCAGCCCATACCCCAGAGGGTTGTGCAACCCTTCAGAAGGGCCTCAACAGGTTGGAGAGATGGGCAGAGAGGGACTTTCTGAAATTCAAGAAAGGCAAGTGCAGGGTCCTGCTCCTGGGGAGGAAAAAACCCCTGGACCACCACAGGCTGGGGCTGAGCTCTTGGAAAGCAGCTCTGTGGAGAAGGACCTGAAGGTCCTGGTGGAAAACAAGCTGTCCATGAGCCAGCAGTGGCCAAGAAGGCCAATGGGATCCTGGGGTGCATTAGAAGAGCATTTCCAGCAGCTCACAGGAGGTGATCCTGCCCCTCTACTCAGCCCTGGTGAGGCACAGTTCTTGGGCCCAGTTCTGGGCTCCTCAGAACAAGAGAGACTTGAACGCCAGGGAGTTGATCCAGTGAAGGACGACAAAGATGACTGGGAGAGTGCACCATCTCTCACTTACGAGGAAAGGCTGAGGCAGTCTGACCTGTTCAGCCTCAAGAAGAGACCAATCAGAGTGGACCTTATCAGTGTCTCTAAGTGTGTGACAGGAGGGTATCAGAGGATGGAGCCTTTCTCGTGGTGCCAAGCAACGGGACAAGAGGCAATGGGCAGAAACAGATGAACAGAAGTTCCACCTGAATACGAGGAAGCACCACTTTACTGTGTGGGTGAACGAGCACTGGAACAGACTGTCCAGAGAGGGTGAGGAGTCTCCCTCAATGGAGATATTCAGGATCTATCTGGACACATTCCTGCGCTGTGTGCTCTGGGATGTTCCTGAAGGTTGAACTAGAAGACCCACTGTGACCTCTTCCAAGCTTGCCCATTTTGTGATTCTGTGATTTGTCAATAAGCTTTAAACTGGCTAACTTTTGTTGGATTTTATTTGGAATGGTAAATAGTACACTCTTAATTTGACAGCCTGTTGTAATCAATCCATGCTTCAAAAATAAATGTTCCTGAGCTTTCCAAAGAAAAGGCAGTAATATTTCTACTATAAATGCAAAGTACAGCACTTTCGCTAGCCTTTCTGAATTTGTCAGAAAAACATATACTAGTATGGATGACAGTACTCAAAATGTTGTTGCAAAGCCAGTGTCCATAATGGAAAATTTCAATTTAGCCAAAGAGCTAAAGGCTAAAATTTAGCAAACTGTGAAGAAAAAATTACAAGGTCTTGCAAGCCTAAATAATGGGCAACCTTAGTAATAGGTGGCATTTGCCTGTAACATAGAACACAGCTTGGAAATAGTATCTGTTCTATTTATTCTGGCTTCTCTAGTGATGTTTTTATAGAAAGTGTATTATTTTCCATTAAAGTTAATGAATCATTTCTGATTTTGTTGCAGCAGAATGAAGGCAGGAATCTCATACTCTGTATTCTCAAATTGCTTGGCATGTCTAACCTACATATCAGCTTTATACCCACCTTTTGATATTTCACTGGAATGTAACAAATGAAGCAGAGATTAATATTAATGAAAAAATAGAAATTACCATACATTTGTTCTCTGTTTTCATCAAGTGTCAGACATTACAGTAAGAGACGCCAATTTAAGAATCTAGACAAATTTAGGTAATGTCCTTGATGCTTGATGGCTGTAATTAAATTAATTCTGGGAATCTGCACTGGTACTTCTGCCACATCGGGATTGTGGCCTCCAAGTTCCTAGTTATAAAGTTTTTAATGTTTTCTCTGCCACCTAGGACTGTGTGGGGACCAAATTCACGTTAATTTTGTGGCTGCAGTGCTAAAGAAGGATATGCAGAGGGAAAGGTCTGACTGTCTCCAAAAGCCACCCGTAATCCTCTCTGCGCTGAACCACATGTAAGTGTCAATAAGCATACTTGTGAGCATGGGGGCAGCATAGTTGGCCAGGTAGGGCAGTAAATTTAGGGAGCCACCACCCTGTGTGGCACCCTGCCTTTGAAAATAGCACAGTAATAAATAATGCATGCTGGTGTGCCGACCAAGCTAGCTTCACCCTGTCCAGACCTGTTGGTACAATGTGCTTTTTTGTCTGTCTGGAAGTATTCTGCGTCTTAGCAACCAAAGCTGTCTCTGCCCTTAGGAGCTGAAACAGAAAAGGCTAACAGTCACACAAACAGAAAGTGACATTCCAGTCTCAGTACCACATCATAACCATTTTCCTTCTGCTTTTGCTGATGTCCTTTTTAGCAAGAGGAAAATTCTGTTTTCCCTGTCTATGTTGAGATCCAGTGGTCACATCCTCCTGTGGTGCTTCTGCAGCATATAGATAAGATGTATTTCAGTGTGATTCTTTAATCTCCCGTGTTTTTCTCAGTGGCACAATGTATGACTTTGGTTTCTTGTAAAAGATATCCTTCCTGGAAAGGGAAGTGCTCTTTACTGCTTGCTAGTTCTTTGCTTTTCCTGTTCTGGACAGATCATTCATGCTGATATTATGCTAAGGCATTATTTTGATGATGAAAGCTATAAATACTCACCAAGACATGACCTGGTATGCAAATACTTGGACTCAGTGACATGAATGCTTAGAGAAATCTTGTAAGTGCTAGGCCTATCAAAATAGCTGCTGAGCTGTCTGCAGGGACAATCTCAAGCCTTGATGTTGTAACCACAAAACAATGAAGCTCTCCAAGATGGGTATTTACAGTCTTCCTTCTTCTTCAAGGACAACTTTCTTTGATAGGTGAGAATCAATGGAAACCATGGAACTTGACCTAACCTAGCTGAGAAATAATTGAATCTTCCCAAACAACACTTGTACACAGGTGCACCTTACCTATGTGAGCAAAAGGAACTTCATTTTCAGTTGGTGTTAGATAGGAACAAGGTGACATTCCTTGAGTCTGAGATCCATTATTTATCTTGAAATCAGGTTCAGCATAAATAATATCTGTGAAATATTTCCCCTACATTGACAATGAGCCTTGATTAATAATTAATAGTATCTCTGGATGTTGAAGGACAATTCATTCCCTGTGCTTGGCAAATCTAGCACTGCGAACTCTTGTCAGCATCTGTCAGGGGAAGATTTATGATGAGACTTGGGACCAAAACTGAGCAAAGACTAGAAAATTCACATCACACAGACCACTGAACAGTCACTGAGTAATAATATTTAGCATTTCTTGTTTTATGCATACAAATTAATGAAACCTCAGAACCTTCCCACATTTTAGTGCATTTTTAACTGTTTTCATGTTGGTGCCTTTTTTGACCAGTGAAATAATGAGAAACAGATGAGGCTTCCTATTTTTATCTGGGCACCTGGTTTCCTGCTCAGGTTCATGGTTGCAGGCTGGAGGAGCAACTCCCACATGATCAAAGACAACTTTGGACTGAGCACACGTTTACCAATTCTCTGCCCTGCTAACCTGCATATAGCTGAGCTGTCATACTCAACCCCAGACACCCACACACTGATGATTTTTTTCCTCATTTTGTTTCTTACCTACTCTCAAATACCCAGAGAAGCTGAAAGACCAATAAACCGCTTTCACGCATTTCTCAGGATTCTCAATGCATAAAAGAAATGACTGAGCCCATTACATGGGCTCACCCAGTCCACCTCCCTGCCAGCGCAGGGTTATTCCACACCGTGCAACTCCTAATGTTATTTCCAGACTAATTTTAATTTAGGACATTCCTGCTTTTCACTTGTCCCCATTCTAATTATGATCTCCCTATCTACCTGAAATAACCTCAATTTAAAAAAATAAAATAAAAATGAAGGGATGGTCTTAAGAAAACAGCTACAAAGAAATCAATCCCTCATCCATTACCAGGTTTTTCTTTTGTTCTGGAGCCACGCGTGTAACCCGGTTAGACCTGTTCTCTTTGAATGCCGAGGACTGAGCTGGCCTTATGCAAACGCTCTCAACCTCATCTTGGTTGTTGTCGTTGCAGATCCAATCAAATGAACAGGAAGTGACCTAAGGAATTCCCCTATTGGCTGCTTGAGTGTTCAGCAAAATGTTTTAAAATTAGTATCACATCCATTTATCTTCACTCCTGGGAGTCTTTAGTTGACATAACCTGTGCTTACCCAACCTACTGTTCTGTAGACAGTTTTCCCATTGCCTCAGTTCAGGATTTCCACTCCAGAATCTGCAGCTAAATGAGGTAAGGTGTTTGGGGTATTTATTTTTTTTCTTAAATGCACTTACTCTAAAATAACACCAGTGAAAATAATAAAAAATAAATAATAAAAAAAAATTGTCTGCTGGACTCCTAGCCACCATACCAAGCCTTTACCTTCCCACTTTGGAACAGCAGCTAAACCCATTTAATCAAAGGCTTTTTAATGTTGCAATAAAGATTTCTGCTTTCCTGGTTTGAACTTGTATCTTCTGTTTAAGTATTTCTGCTCTGTTTATGTTTGAGTGGGACCAGATCCTGAGAATCTTTTATTATGATGTATCTTATAATATTCTGGGTCCTAAATCTGCTGCTTTTGTCACTAGAGTTGTCATCTGTTCAGTAAGACGGGGCGAAAAGTGGACGTTCTCAATGCTATTGAGAGTGCTTGTGTCATAGAACTGGGATACAGTCCACAATGACCGTGTTTTGGTTCACTTTAGTGATGAGGATTTTGTTTGACTTTTGTAACAAAAAAACCTAAAGTACGTTTAAGATTTGTCTTGGTTTCAGCCTCAAGGCAATTTCTTGGCAGTTGTGTGGTGAAGGAGGTTCTGCTGATTTTAGTTCTGTCTAAGCAAAAACACTACACAGAACCCAGCTGTGGCACTGGGTAGGTAAATATAGCGTGAGGCCCGCAGTGTCTTTGCTTGTTTAATTTGTTTCTGTTCCAATGGTAATTTCATTTTAATAGAACCAGAACAGGCCCCTTAAGGTATAGACACAGTTGTTTAAGTAGTTGTAGAAGAGAATGTAAAGAAAAAGTTGCTCCAAATCTGTGTTGATTTTGTAAAATATGTGTAATGGACTTAGAGACAAATGTTTGCATTTCACCCTGTGAGACATTTTAGACACATACTTGTGTGTATGTTGTTATAGAGTTACTCAATTATATCAGTTATGTGCTTTTTGATTACTTCATCTGAAGTTATATGTTGTGTTTGCTTCTAAAGTACATCCAACTATCCTATCTTTCTTACCTTTGCCATTTTTCAGAACCAAAAAATTATTAGAATTAAGCAAGCTCATAATGACAGAAATGTACCTTGAGGTGAAAGTTTCATTTAGTCATTTTATTTATACCTGTCTCACTTGACACTGTGTTAAGCAGATCTAACATGCACCAGTATTTCCTGCAATTTGTGAAAACTTCAGTGAAATTTAAAAATGTGTTCCTTTAAGTTTTGCTTTGATAGGAAATTTGCAGGGTGTAGTTTAAGCTAGTTGTCTGACATCTATTTTACACTGTAGAAAATATCAGAGCTGGAAAATAGAGCAGTTTTATATTTAATGCAAATGCAGAAACTAAAGAAAAAGCTGCAATTGAAACTAGAAAAACAACAGGATTAAGGTGTTTCACTTATAAATATCACAATGACAGTTTAATTCCTGCCCTACAATTTTCAAAACCAAGTGATTGTTGTAATAACAACATAGGACTTGCCAGAATTTTTCAGAGATAATTATGTGACTTCAAGTAGAGCTTATCTTTCAGAAAACTTCCAATCTTGAAAAAAACAATCCAGAAGTCCAGTGATGGGAAATTCCCCAGAATGTTTTTAAGGGCCCTAGCAATTAAATACTATTCTTCTAAAAATATTTTATCTCATTTTCAGTCTGACATGGTCTTGCTTTTACATTCAGCCACTTGATTTTGTTGTTTTTCGATGATTATTGAGAAGTTTCCCTGGGTAGGAAATTTCTGTTCCTTGTGTAGTTAGCTAAGAACAAGTCCTTTCTTAGCCTAGTCTCTGATAATTGTGGGAGTCTGAGCTCCAAAGCCTGTTCCTTTTCATGGAGAAACTTACAGTACAGTGAAGGATCTCAACCTGTTTCACTGTAAACTTTTCCATCCTTTAATCACTTTAATGCTCTCTAATTTTTCAACATTAGCTGTGAAATTTGGATGTCAGGATGGATCAGAGTCTGTAGAGTGCCAAACAGAGATATTATGAGTCAATATACTGGGAATTCCAGTTCAGGGGTTTATGAAGTGTGCCCAAGGCTTTTCTAGAGCCGCCATCCTCCAGACACCCTTCTCCCCCTTGAGCACTGGTCCTGTATGCAGAGACGAGGCTATCATTAGTAGAGTCAATGTTTCCCTGCATTTAGCATTTCTAGTTTTTTTCTACTCCAAGTGTCACTTGTAAAGCCTATAACAATGGTAAAAATACATATTTTCCCCAAGTCCCGATAACAAAGGTTCTCATATCAGATCAGAACATCTCTTTGCTCGCCCCAGCACGGGTTAGGTCGCGCTTCACGGCAACCCATAGAGTGACAACCATATATTTACCCTGGTCGTGGTGAGATCAGGTAGTAGAATGTGGTCTGTTTAACACAGGATATTATTATGCTCTTGTCACCTGAGAGAATATGCTGTGGTATTGCCATAGTAATTTCTTATTACTTTAGATATTCTCAGGGTGTTGTGGGTTTTCAGCAGTGGTGGAAACAGACAATAGGACAGTTGGACAAATGAAAAATTAAATCATTTGGCTCCTACTCAACTTCCTTATTTTTTTTTCCGTCACAATGAATTTTCTTGTTAACATCTGTATTTGTTCTGTCTGGGAAGTGCAAGGTAGCAAACTGCAGTGGAGAGAAAAGAAGCTAAAAAAAAAAACCCACAGATGGAAAGAGATTATAGAGGAAAAAAAGGGTTTCTGTAGGTGCGTCTGTGTTCGGACAGGAGTGACATGTTAGCCTGTCGCGTGTCCCACCACAATTTGCACCAAACTCCCCTTTGAGGATGGAATTCTACAGCTGCTGAAGAAGTGTGTATTTATGTACAATTCTCACAGAAAAGAATGAATGATTTTATTGACTCAGCAAACTCAGAGAACTGACCATGAGCCATGACACCTTTCCAGAATCAGTGCTGAGCTTTCCTTCCTTGTTGGCCCTTCCACACTTTTTATAAATATGTTTAACTTAGATTAGACCAAACCAAGAAAACTTCTCACTAACTGTAATGTTGCCTGGATCTGTTCTGTGGAGTCTACAGTCACATGCTTTCTGTTGGTGTTAACTTGTTCACATTCAGTCCTCACAAAATTGTCTGACCTCTTTCTGTAATACTATGAATACCATCTCTGTGAACTGGGGCAATGACCTACTGTACGGAGACAGGTTGGAAAGTGGGTGCTCCAGGACAGGCCTGTCTGGCTTAAAATTCGTCAGTGTGCTCAGACCAAGATACAGATAGAGATGAATGACCCTTTCTTATTCTGAGTGCAGTGTGCCCATCCTCTGTAGGATTTTCTGTGGTCTTACAGGGCTCTCTTTCTCATCAGCCTTCCTACACTTGTAAAGTAGGTATTCTTGCTGAGGTATAGGCATTCCAGCAACAAGCAGCACATAAAAAGAAAACAGCCACAAACTTAGTTGTCATTTGTCATTACTAATGACACACAGTATTAGGATGTGGTAGAATGAAATGTAAAGGCTTTGCTGTCCACAAGGAAATGAACAGAAACACTGTTTTTGTAGCTAGCATAGTTCGTGATGTTTAATGAAGTCTCTGTCCTATCTCACAGCTTCACTACTACTGAATTTCAGCCATAAGCTCATGGAATTTTCTTCCTAATAATAAGTGCCTTGTGAGCATTGGTGAAGTTCAACACCATCTTCAGCCAAGCGCTCTTGCTTCAGCCACTCAGCCAGTGTCCAAGGGCACTTCAAGATCTCTAACCAGAAATGGCTGCATGTCTCCCTCACAGTCCCTGTTTCAGCACACTCTGCAGCACACATGTATTTCACTGAGTTTTCAAGAAAAGGGTACATTGTAACTTGATAACTGTGAAACTTAAGAGTAATACTGCTGATCAAAAGGCTAAGCAAAGAAAGATTTTTTCTCGCAGCTGGTATACAAAAAAAGTAAGGATTAATTCGGTTTCTGAAGAAGTCACAAGGAGTCTTAGTATGAGAGCTCCTTTGAGCTCTACTGGGGTTGCAGTTTGCACCAAATCCCTTACTGAATGCCTAAAATACTTGGGGCATTTGTTGGTCATTGGACTACAGACAGGTAACAATGAGTAAACATGAAGTCATGTAACCAGTGGAGCAATCAACTGGCATTTGGCATTTTGCATGTCTCCCTCTGAGGAAGAGCCCTCAAAGGCTGCCTTTCCAAAAGCTGACATTGCACATGGTTATCATTACCTATTCCTCTGCTGATCTTGTGAAATGTGCTTCACAGGAAAGAGTATGAGAACTAGTAGACAGAACAGCCAACTGGAGCTGGGTAATCACTGATAATAAACTAATGGGATGCGGTAATAAAAGAGAATTGCTTTGTGGTGGTGGAAAGAAAGTAATTTTACCTAAAGGAGCTACAAAAATGTAGAATAAAAGTTCCTTCCTACTATGGAGGAAGGATACAGACATAAACATTTGAGGTATTTTCTCAATGCACAATCAGATGTCGCCAGAATATCAGATGTTATTGAAGCTCAGTCTCCTGAGCCCTGTAAGGATTAAGCAACTATGTATAAAATGTTCTGTTGCCTAAATTAGTAGTGCCATCACAAGAAGAATTGGTTTTGTTTTTTAAAACTTTTCCAGGTTTTCTTTCATTTAGCAGTGAGCAGTTAACTGATTTATGTTGCTGTTAAAGAATCCTTGTAAAACTGCCCAAGATGGTCAGGAATCAGACTAAGTCCATGATATAGTGATTACCCCCAAACTTTCTTAATGATTTTTACTGCAACATGTAATTATTATTACACAATAGCTTAAAAGCTTGCATCTTGATGATGCACTTTCAAAGTATGCTTGGTTAAGCAGTTGTCTCATAGATTGGAGGGGCTTTATCAGGGAGTCAAATTCTGACACACTCAAGGGTGCTGTTCTCATCTCTTTTGCAGTGAGATCTAACACAGTACTCACATAAAAGACTTAATATTCCCAGGCACCTGCCCTGACAGAAGAAGATGAAAAAGTTTTAGAAGACTGGATTAATAGGTGATTAGATAAGTAAGATA